GAATGTCCAAAATTTTTAAGGGATGAGACAACTTATAATTGAGGGTGTTCCAACCTGAAAGGGGGATCTCCATCTGCCCCCCCCCCCACACCACATACACACACACATCCTAACAGCTATAAATAGGAATAAAATGTACCTCTTTATCTGCTTTCCTTTTCTTCGGTGCAGAATTTAGCGCTTCTAACTCTGATTCAAACTGGTCCACCTAAGATCAGAAAATACAACTGCTTTAATACTACCATTTGGAAAATAACTTACATTAATAATTTTGTTATAATTTATGTCATAGTTAAGTGTTGTTCCATTTGACATTGTGATGATAATTTGGCTATGCTTCCTTGGCACCAATCTGTAAATTCCTTCAAAATTTCATGAAGGAAATTTCAATACTTTATTAAAGTGCTATATATTATAGCAAAGTGCTATATTTTACCATGCTATCAAAGAAAAGTAAATAAAATTTAAATACCTGGACATTTAGACTATCAATTGATTCCTAGAAAAGAAATTAAGGACACATATTGCAAAGTGCTATATATCAAAAAATAATAATTACAGTAATAGGAATATTTCTAAAAACAAGGTGTTAGCTATAGTCGAAACTATGGTTGTTTTCACAATTATGCTTAGCCAGCAATTTCACAAGTTAGATCAGGCCAAAAAAAAATATGTGGGTTTCCGGTTTCCCGACCCTACCTAGCTTTTGGACGTCGAAATCCCGACCGTAAACTTTTTTATTGGATCATGCTTGTAAGTGTTTCTCTTAGAGGAAAAACTTTGTGGAAAATTGAAATTTGAGGCAATATTAGGGAAATTTATCTTTGGATGTGGAAAATTTGGGTGCCAGATAAGCGTTGCGAAGATGTCATGTAGCCTAAAATATATATCTGTCCGTTTTTAGTACGAAAAACAATGTCAGGTAACTTGCACTTCAAAAATTTCAATTCAGCTCAGCTGGTGCTAGGCCACGAGAACGTCACTTGAGAAACACAATATTCCTTAACTCCGGTGTGAATGTCACAGACCAACTGAAATTCCCCTGGAAAATGACACTTACAGTGAGCCAGGCTCTGAATTCTTCTTTTTCTCTTGTTGCTGGGTCTATTTTAGTTGCCAATCCAAGACCTTCTTTTGAATAAGCTTTCGTCTTGGTCTCCCTTTCGACCACTTTGAATCTTTCCATTTGCTAAATCAAAACAACAAATCATCATTGCCTGTGCATTTAATACAACTATAACCTTATCATATCTCATACTTTTGAAAAATTTGTTTTCCCTAGGCAGACGTTGGAAAACAAACTTAACTCAAGCTGCAATGCCCCCAAATGCAACCGACCTTATCATTTTACTCTGCCTAATCAATGTTTTTAGTCGTCAAGGGGAGTGGTTAATCCTTTATTTTCACAGCATGTTATATAGTGTTTTGTTATCATTTTAGATATATGGGTATAATTCAACCTTACAGGTAAATCTTCCTAACTCATTTGGGATTTTCCTCATAGGCATCAAGCCTTGTGATGTCATTATGCATAAGGTCTAGTTGCAATGCATTCGAACAGAACAGGTAGTTAGGAACTTGTAACAGGAAGTTAAGAACTTCTAACAGGAACTGAGGAAAATTGAATCGGCTCTTAGCAACATTGCAAATTCCCTCAAGGGATTTGCAATAGGTTTTTTAATTGCAAAGGTAATGAGGAAAATTGCAATCACTTTAGAAACTCAAGAGGAACGCTTGACATAGTTTACTTGTAAAAGTGGCTTTCCTCTGCATGCTAGTGAGCTCCCCAAATTTTACCTATTGTTTGATTTTGTTGTCGTTTCATTTATATTTCGATTTATCAGTACTGATTTTATCAGCTTTAAATTCAAGGTTCGAATTAGAGAAGGAAATTTGAATAGAAAATTTCAATTTTGCCGAGCGGAAACACTAACAAAATGGCAGCGATTTCCATTACGAGTTTTGTGAATGTTTTCGACGTTCGGCGACAGCTATATACTTGTAAAATTTTACACATCAATTTACTACAATAATAAGTATGGTACAAAGTACAAAGCAAACATTGGTTTCATATAATAAATTGTTGAATTAGTAAAATAGAGTTTCATTGGTGATAGAAATATAGTAAATTTATACACCTAAAACCAGGAAAAACAGAATTGGCCACTCAACATTTTGAGGGTGCCCACACAATACTTTGTTGGTGCTCAATCTGGCAACAAATGGGAAAACACTTAAAGAAATTTTCTTACACTTCTCGGTTTGCTCACTACAAATTAACCAAATAATTTGCATTGCATTCTGTCTTTATTAAATATTATTTTACCCTGTCTAGCGCCAGACAATTTTACTTGTCAAGGGAAGAGAGCCGGCGCTTAATGGATTAACACTATAAACCCTGGATGCAGGGCAAATTAGGAAATATTATAGTGAAAACAATGTTTCCTGGCAAAGATTTTCTAAATGTGCGCAAGTAAGGAAAAATTTGAGAAAGCGTTGAAAATTTTCCAATTTTCCCACAACATTTTCAAAACATTATTACTGGAATTACTGGAGGTAAACAAAGGATTTGCAAATGCCCTCTGCAGACATAGCAAACTTTCAGAACTGACCTTTTCAATTAGTTTTCTCTTGTCGACGAGAACTTGCTTGTCCTTAATATCATTGGACGCTATCCATGTCTTAATCTGATCACGAAGTCGCTATAACGAACAAACGGTTGGACATAATCAGTCTGTGAGAAGATTTTACAACCAGGAACATGGGGAGAATTCTAGAGAGTCACCTGTAGCTTCTTAATTTCCTTTTTAAGATCTGCTTCGTATTTTTCCTTTTGGTTTGCATTCGCTGCATTATGGACCTTGTCAAGAAAGCACAGATTACTAATGGCACAACTTAAGTCAATTGCATGCTAATATAATGGGAGCACAAGTACAATCAAACTTTTGTATATAATTATGGCAAATATACAATCACAAATGTACTCAAATTTCGTGTTGAACAAATTACTACCTTTTGCCAAATATCTTCAAACGTTTCCACGCCTTCTGTAATCTTTTTGAGACATCTATCGATCTCAGCTACAACAGAGGAAAGGTGAGGGGTGAATGCCACGGCACTCGGTCTAACAATTTGACACACGAGGAACGAAATGCTACTAGTACAAGACCGCCATGTTTACCTTGCAATTTTCGTTTGTCGGCCATCACCTGGTTTTTGTTCCTTTTCTTTTCATTATTTCGCTAGCGTGAAACCTCAAGGCACATTTGAATTCTTCCACTATCCTATTTTTCAAATAAAACAACGTGAAAATACAACAATGCTACAATATATTCGTCCAAAATCCATGTTTCTTTCATTTGCGGATTTTTAACTCTCACAAAATTCAGTGCGCGTCACGCATTGTGGGATAGCAATGGCGGCATTTGCTTGGTGTTAAGGTGGCACCCTGCGGCTTTCGGTAAAAAACAAAACTGATATTGCTGAAATGGCATAAAATATTAAATGTGTCTTTGTCTACAGATTTTAAAACGAATCTTATGTTTACAAACGCGTGCATATATTCTCGTGGGTACCCAATTTATAACATGCATTATTTTTATAAATATTATTTATATTATTCTTACATTTTCTGATATGGCTTTTAAATTAATTTATTTGTATCCGTACGCCCCCTCCCCCCTCTATCGAGAAACTCGGAATTCTTCAGGGGGTAAGCCAATTTGGTGTTTTGGCAAATGGAATTCCCTCAGGGTCAAGCAGGGGCATTGGAGCCATGGGACAGTTACTCCCGCTGCCCAAAAAGTTCTGGAAGAGCACGGGGGGTAGCAGGTTGCACTTTTCCACTGACTGTATGAAAAAAAACGTCAAAAAGACAGCAGTCCTAAATAATTGACAAGATGTCATGTTGATATACAATGCATTTTAAATATTTAGCGTCATGCGACGAATAAAATTGTTCCAATCAATGGCCAAAGTTTGTCCAACTATATTATCGGCTACGAAACACTGCTGCCCACAAAAATTAGGGTTCGGAAGTGCTATCTTTAAATGGGTGCCCCGGCTGCTTCCAGCGCTCTTCAGGTCACATTTTAGCTGAGATGCAGATGCTTTGAGCACTAATTACTACCAGTAAAATTGAATAATTGATGACCAAGAACGCTTTGAATGCAGTTTTAGTTTCAACGAGAGATCTTCTAAACGAAGCTCATTCCGAGCTGAAGAAAGTTCTTTTAGTAAATTACTGTCTATGGCTGGACGTCACCAGTTACCGTGGTGGTCTTAACGTCTGCCAACCCGGGCTACTCTTGAGCAAGCTCAATAGCTCATGTATAAAGATAAAGAGCAGAGCCCAGCAAATAACTTTAAAACCAAACATACTAAAAAAAGTTAAAGTTATTTGCTGGGCTCTGCTCTTTATCTTTCAATTCATGCAAATCATGTCAACCATAATATGTCACGTGCAGTGGCTTTATACCTGATAAAACACTCCTAATTGGTATTCTTTATATAAAGAATACTAATAAGGCAGTATCTATTGTTGTCGTGTCATCATTAGTATTTTTTATATAAAGAATAATAATATAAAGCAGTATATCTATTGAATTTGTAGTCGTGTTTGAAGTACTGTTTAATAAACGAGCAGGTCGTGTTTTATTAGATCTAAAGCCACTCGCGCTGCGCGCTCGTGTCTTTAAACCTAATAAAACACTCCTGCTCGTTTATTAAACAGTGCTCGTTTATTAAACAGTACTTCAACTATGATTTCCGCGTGGTGTATCAATTTCCACAGCTCATGTACATACCAAAATCCAGTATAATCATGAGCATGCTCATTAGTCATTACCAAAATCCAGTATAATCATGAACATGCTCATTACCAAAATCCGGTATACTCATGAACATGCTGATATGCACACAAAATCCGGTATAGTCGAGAGCTCAAAACAATTAATTTGTAAAAAAAACGCTATATAATTTGTAGAAATTATAATTTAATGCAGGTGATTACTGTTTGAACAATGCAAAAAAAAACATGAAAAATTATACGCATTTTTAATGTCTCATTATTCAAATCTCACATATTCACTGTATAATCATTATGTACTATATTAATACTAAACATTATTATAATCAATAATCAATTGGTAATAATACCCCAGGCGATTGTTTCCTGATTGGAATACCACTCGAACAAATGGATGGTGGTATTGACATGGGTTGTTTGGGCCAAAATACAATACACATAAATTAACTTTCAGCTTTCGCGTAAAACCCTAGTTCATAAATACGGATTCGTTTAAGACTTAAAAACTTGGCTTGTGCTACTATTTCCAAACACTTTTGGGTATTTCAGATATTACTGTAAACACCTTTCTAGGTAAAATGTATTATATTATAGAGTTCCACTAAACTATATCACAGAGAAATTACATACAGAGGTCTCACTTCAAGTTAATCTAGCATGATAAGGGATTTTTTCAGTTGGCCACGTTCTTAGCAAGTGCCCTAAAGAGAGGCCGTCACCACCCTGAAAACATATTGAAACTTAATGTTCCAGGGGGGAGAATGCCTCTCTTTAGAGCACTTGCTAACAACATGGCCGCCAGAGATGCGCAGTAAAAACTACCTTACTGTTTTTTCGCTAAGTGATACCTCTGTAGGTAATTACTCTGTGACTACATGTGGCCAATATCATAAAAGAAAGAAAAAATACAAGCAGAAAGTCGACGTTGAAGTCACACGTCGAAGTCACACGTCGAAGTCCTGCTTGTATTTTTCAGGACGTTTTATCTTTCTCAATCTATATAGCTGTCTTGTTAGCACAGACCATTCGAGATTACAGCAGATAAAAAACTAGGTATAGATCCTTAAATATAGTTACAACTTCGAGTTTTTAGCTGTATATCCATCATTCTTGCTTTCCTTTGAGAAGTTTCGCTAATTCTTCACTGGACGAAACAGGCAGTTTACAGGCAAAGTTTTCACATACATGCGCAGTCGCTTTATCGTCCACCTTTATCAGGGACTTTAACACACTGAGCTTTGAAGCAAGAAAGTGGTTTTCTTTTTCATTGCATAAAATGAGGATTTTATTCGGGATGAAACAAGAGTGAACCGTTTCCAGTAATTTTTTTGTGTCTTCTGCATCTCGCTCACCAACAATAATTATCTGTAAAAATAATAAATTGTTTTAAATTGAGTGTTGGAAAATTTTTGTTAAATTAAAAATACCATTTATATGAAATTATATCCTACTAGAATTATTAATTCTATGAGCATTTCACAACAGCATATAGCATTTTATCAAAGGTTTTTATACTATACCGTTTTTACCATACCACACCATACCACACCACAGTACTGTACACCATACCAATGATACCATACTAGACTACACCATACCATACCATACCATACCATACCATACCATACCATACCATACCATACCATACCAGACTACACCATACCATACCATACCATACCATACCATACAATTACTATACCATACTATGTCCTAACATCCAGTACCATACGGATACCACACAACACCACAGCATACCGCTACACCATGTCATACCAAACCACGATAGCAGTACTTAAACAACCAACTAGTCAAGTACCATAAAACCTACAAGTAACCAAACTCACCTGTTTCTGTGTTCCAGTGTAAAGGATAAAAGACGCCATAAGCTGTGGTAATGCATGAGGCATTTTACTCAACCTTGGTTCAAACAAAGCATAAATCTTGGCAGCTTTCTCGCGATATTCTTTCTTCTCAAGAAATGATGACAATCTCATCAGGTTGGTGGCAGCGATAGAATTTCCACTTGGCTCAGCACCATCTTGATCTAGAATTGAAATATAAAATTTGACTTAACAATCTTGTATCAGTTTCTGACATAAGAACACACGATATATAGCGGTTGTATTGTCAGGTCGGCCGTATAAACGTTGGTGTTTGCATTGTTTTGCTCTACCTTGTTTCAGTCGTAATAATAGTTTAGACTGTTCTCCCCCTTCGAAGTATCCACCAGCTTGATCATCCCATAGCAACTCATTTTGTTTTTCCTGTAACTGTGCTGCCCACTTTAACCATTCCTCATCAAACGATGCTTGATACAACTCCAGTAAGCCGTGAATAAGAAAGGAATAATCATCGGAAAAACCTTCTACAGGATTCTCACTAAATGTAAACAAGATGTTATACGGATTAGTTTCTGGTTTACGTACGATTTTTCAACAATTGGATGGATCAGCATGTTCAAAGTTTGATAAACTTTAAAACTTGCTCAGAGCATCAGTGCTCAGAAAATTCCTTGGCAAAATTACACAAAGTTTTACAAATTTAGGTAAAAAAGTATAGATATATATAGGGCTATTTACATACAGTTTTCAAAACAAAGCTTCCACATTTTTTATACTTAACTAAATTTGATTGCTCTCTTCATTTTCGGTACTTAGCTATATATAGTGCTAATAATATCATATTTAAATCGATTTTTGACACGACATTTTTTTCTCCATTTTTCATGCATTACTTCAAAGTACTTTGAAAATAATGAAAGAATGGCCTTACTGTAGGTGCACTTATATTAACTGTACCAAATTTCATTTAATTTCATTGAATCACTTCTGACATATTAGACTTTCTTCTTTTTGCTGTCACCTTAAGCACAGCCAGTGACGTCAAAACACAAAAATACAAAAGTTTCTTTCAATAAGAATTGAGGAGAACATTTTGTGTCATGTACACTTTAAAATAACAAAGACATGACATACAGCTGAACTATTTCCCCATCATCGCCTTTGTAGCAACTTCTTGTCAATTTGCCTGTTTCTTCAATCCATAAATATTTCTTCACAAACGTAGCTGCTTTGATGGCTCTCTTCAAGTAAACATCGTCCTTCAATATACAGCCTGCTTTGGCAAACGCAGCAATCATCAAGCCTATAATTTATAACAGGAATAAAATTGAAGAGTACAGTAGCATTGTAGCAACATGTTATGATTCCATGGAGGTGTTTTTCAAGAACGTTCTTACGATAAGTACCACATACTGTAACATTGTCTATAAATACAAACTCATAATTAAATGATGCTTGTGATGTTACTCTGAGTGTATATCCACACCGGACAAGCTTGAAAAATATGCTTGCCCAGTGTGGATATACACTCAGAGTAACATCACAAGCATCATATTCACGCGAGTACATTACACTAACACAGAAAAAAATCATAATTAATGTTGTTATATAGCTAGCGTGAACACCAAACGTGATTGGCTGATTTGTGGTCACGTGACTTCAGATAAATGCAATGTTTCCCGCCGGGCAACAAGTGAAAAATTGTTGCCCACCCCGACCGGCCACGTACATAAATAAACAAAATGG